GGTAGAGTGCCATGGCTTCACTGCTCACAGCAACCTCCAACTCCTGGGCTCAAGTGAGTCTCCTGCCTCAGCCTCCCAAGTAGCTGGGACCATAGGTGCCCACCACAACGCCTGGCTATTTTTTGGTTGCAGCCATTATTGTTGTTTGGCGGGCCTGGGCTGGATAGTCTCACTCTTTCATCCTGAGCAGAATGCTGTAGTGTTATCATAGTCATAGCTCATAGCAACCTCAAATTTTTGAGCTCAAGCGATTTTCTTGTCTTTTCTTTTCTTTTTTGAGACAGAGCCTGAAACTGTCACCCTCGGTAGAGCGCTGTGGTATCACAGCTCACAGCAACCTCCAACTCTTGGGCTCAAGCGATTCTCCTGCCTCCACCTTCCAAGTAGCTGGGACTATAGGTGTCTGCCACAACGCCTGGCTATTTTTTGGTTACAGCCGTCATTGTTGTTTGGTGGGCTGGGCTGGATTCAAACCCACCAGCTCATGTTTATGTGGTTGGCGCCTTAGCCATTTGAGCCACAGGCCCTGAGCCTCAAGCAATTTTCTTACTGTAGTCTCCCAAGTAGCTGGAACTACAGACACCTGCCACCACGCCTAGCTAGTTTTCCTATTTTTAGTAGAGACAGAGTCTTACTCTTCCTTAGGCTGATCTGAGTTCAAATTATCTAACTACCTCTGCCTCCCAGAGTGCTAGGATTACAGATGTGAGCCACCGTGCCTGGCTTTGTTCTATCATTTTAAACTTTTTTTTTTTTTTTTGAGACAGATTCTTACTTTGTCACCCTGGGTAGAGTGTGGTGGTGTTATAGCTCATAGTAACCTCAAACTCCTGTCCTTAAGCAATTCTCTTGCCTCAGTCTCCTGAGTAGCTGGGACTGCAGGCGCCTGCCACAACACCCAGCTATTTTTAGAGATGGGGGTCTTGATCTTGATCAGGCTGGTCTCGAACCTGTGAGCTTAGGCAATCCACCCACCTCAGCCTCCCTGGTACTAGGATTACAGGTGTGAACCACCACGCCCAGCCCATCATTCAAATCTTCTATAAGGGACAGTCCTTTAGATGGAATTTAGAAAACATGTTCTGAGTCTTCCTATTTACTAGGTGCTGTGTACCCCTGCTGTGAATGGTACATATCTTATCTGTCTCTGGGCTTTATCATGAGTTTCATTTGTGAAGGAGCAGGAAGAAAAGGCTACTTTGCAGTGGAGTTAAGTCTAAGTCATGTGCTTTCTCCCTTGTTTGCAGATCTGTGCAGTTCTGGCTGCTGTCACTGAGGTGATTCGCTCCCAAGGAGGGAAGGAGACTGAAACTGAGTACTTTGCTGCTCTGGTGAGTTGGTGCTGCTTACGGGGAGGTGTTAAGAGCAGCAAGTTTTGCAGGCTACAGAGAGGAGACAGAGCTCTTGGCATGCGGGAATGGAGGAGGACAGCCTTGACCAGGTCAAAGTGCTTCAGTCTTTTTTAAGTGGCTTGGTAAGCTGGTGGTATATGTGGTGTTATTCTTGTAAAACAAAAATCTGGGCTTAGCGCCTGTAGCTCAAGTCTAAGGCGCCAGCCACATACACCTAAGGTGGTGGGTTTGAATCCAGCCTGGGCCCGCCAAACAACAATGATGGCTGCAACCAAAAAAAAAA